TGAGGGAATGCTTAATGTATTTTCACGCTACACCTTATCCTTCATGTTAAATCTTTATTTAGATGAATTAATTACCCATCTGTTACATTCTGCTGTAAACACAAAGAAAACTAATATCTTTTTTTTTTTCAAATACAAATATTTCATTTGGCTTCAGAAATTACAGCTTTGTAGTTTGCAAAACAGAATATCTCAGCTTCATTAAAAAAAAAGTTGGAAAAGTTAACGAATATGATCCAGTCAGATCTTTATTTTCCATGTTGTTTTCATTTAACCTTGCTGGTAATAACTGAAAATATTAGGTATTTGGGAAAAAAAATAGAATAGAAAGGGCTCATGCTGAAAACATTTCTGTGAATTCTGATTTAATGAGTCACGTGGCAGCTCTTAAAGCTCAACAGATTTGCTTATAAATTCAAAAACTGGATAAAGTATCATTTTGTTTGGGAATAAATGAGAGATAAGACTTGAAACATCTGTTTGGAAACGTGTTTCATTGAAAACAGTGCGTTGATGCAGTCGGAGGACATTAAGCGTCCACGTGATGACCTCAGCGGAGAGCCGAGTGGAAACTGTGGCTTATGTCTGTTAGAAACTGCTTCGTTTTATATGTATGCACAAGAGTATAATATGTTTGAGTGTTGGAGGCCACATGTGCTCGAAATAACAGATTTGTCCTATTGTTGATTTTTCAGCTTCAGAAGGGGAAAAAGGGGGTAAAAACAACGTTTTATCTGACTTATGGGATCATGTGTTTAGTTCTCTTCCCTTCTTTGTCCAGACTGCATACATCTGCTTTAATGATGATTCATTCAGCCTTCATTCTATGCTGTATTTGTTTATGCTTGAATGGAAACAATTACACATTTGGTGTCAGTATAGTTCTGCATTGTTGTCTTTGTGTCTACGTAGATTAAATCTTCATTAAATGCAATCTGCAGCTACTCTGCTGGCCTGATTTACTGTTAGTTTTCTAATGAGTTTGCCTAAACAGCTATGAGTGAAATACACAACAACCTCAACAGACGCTGGAACTGCATCACAGCTGCCTTTGGACCTTGAAAGCCTCCTCCGTGACTGAGAACTATAAAGCTACACATGCAGAGTAAACAACAGAAAAATCGACTTTTTGATTCTGGTAGAAAGGTTGGAGCTGGTTGACACAAATAGTCGCTCCTGCTATTGTCTCCACATATACTAGTTTCAAATAAATACCAAACATAAAGCTGTGTCATTGGCTAATTAGATCATCAATCATGGTTTTGAACTTGGAGACATTTGTTTGACATAAAATTCAAGATGGCTTTGTTGCTGGGCAGGTCTGATTTTAATCAAGACAAAAAAAGTGTTCTTGGTTTTATAGCTAAAATGGATTTAGTCTGGCACAAAGGTGCGTACAAAAGTTATAACGCTAAAAAAAGGCAAAAGCATTGAATAATGAATACAAGTGGTATGTTTTGATCAAAAACTTCTCTGTTGTTCCATTGGTTTTCCCAGTTCCTAGTGAAAAACATCCCCACAGCGTGATGCCGCCACCACCGTGCTTTGCTGTTGGGATGGTAGGAAAAAGCGGTGCCTGCCTTTAAACTTTTCCAGACATTACCAGGTTGTTTTTTTTAACCAGGTGGTGCCAGACGACTTCCTCCAGTTCTTACCTTTAGCTTGACGTCCTTACAAATAATTCAAAATGTCAACAGGCTTTTAAGGGATTTCAGGGGTTAACCTCATCTGACCTCATCAGTCAAAAAATGTCCAAACAACAACTTTTTTCCTGCCTCTCTTCCATGAAGTCCATCTTTTCATGAGTGCTCTGTTTGACCTCCTGGTTGTTTCTCCGATCATCACCCTCCTTATTTAGTTGGTGAATTTTTCATTTCATCAAAAATAAAAATCCAAAATAAATTCAGGTTCAACACAACACAAAAGATTTTTTAGAAGGGATATGTTTGTCATTTTCTGTGTAAGAGCTTTTGGGAGCAGCATGGAAGAAAACCAAAAAGAAGCTTGTAGACATTTTCCTCCTTTTCAGGCTAATAAATATCTGGTTCACACAAAAGAAAAAAGAAAAATAAAGATCTGCCATGCGTAAATTACATATATATCCATTTAATGGAATAATTTCGCTACAATTTACACAGCAAAATTAAGGGAAAAGTTCACAGTTCGAACTATGTTGAATTTGAAAGGCTTGAAGGAATAAAACTCCACCTGAATCGTAATGCTGTCTGCGTTATCAACGCTCTTCTATTACTCTGTTGTCACCTCGTTCAGTCGCACTCAAGAGCTGGAACATTTTATTCTGCTTTCTGAAAAATAAAAGACTTTTTTAAAAGGTAAAATAAATCTTAAAATGGTTCTTGTACCGCGTGACCCCATGTATGTGGCTGTTAATGCAGAACAATAAAAGCCTGTTTTATCTGCAGGGTTTATTGTCTGAAGCTGACGTATTTATTAGCTGTTTTAAAAATGCGCACTCGCAATACTTTTACTGGTAAGTTTTGAAAATAAAATGCGTTGGGCTTCTTTATATTGTGAAAAAAACAATGTGTTTTAGAAAAATGACAAGGAGGACATATGTTGCTCATATGTGAAGCGGGGAAGGCCAGGGGAGGTGTGTTACCAGATTGTTTCACTTACCAGGCATTAGCTGTTGTTCAGCCCGCCATAAGGAAACAATGTAAATTTACAACTTCCTCATGAAGATTCATCTGGCTAAACAATCAAAGTTATGAGGACATGTCCTGCGTTCACAGAGCACCGAATCTGTAATGCAGTTTGATGTTTCAAGAACGGGAACATCTGTATGGAAAAAAAAGTACAATCAGAGGCATAAGCATGTAAAAACCTGCCTATTCTTTATTTAAAAGGAGATTCAGACATAAAACTAATAAACACTGGTACTTGATTTAGTGCAGATAAAACCAAATGAATAACCTTTTATTTGGGGAAAATGGGAGCTTTCATAATAACCATATAATGAATGAGTTGAGGGAGTTAAACAGGATGCAGACGTGAGCTAAAGTCCTTCTGTATGAACTGCACATGTGTGAGGAGCGTGTCCAGTCCCAGTACTCTGGTATTTGTTCTTGATGAATGTTGGGAATTTGTCAAACTGGAGGCTGGATTGGACTGATGTTTATCACATGCCTTTCTCCAGGCTCACAGCGACTATCAAACAACAATCTGGTGGCACTTAAAAGAACAGAACAGGGACCAAAGCTCCCAACACCACTTTTCTGTGGCTCCGTTCTTTTGGGTTTTGAAGCCTGCACCCAAGTTTTCTGCTTGAAGACAATTTGCTTATATAAAGGAAATTTAACAGTCATTAGTGGATCATTTCCTCCATACTTCTGGCCAGACGGTCCTAATGCTTGGGCATTTGATTAGAGTTAGGAGGACTGATGTGAAAGTTTAAAATCTGTTTCATTCCAGCAGTGTGTGCGTGTCTGATTGGAGGTCTCAGTTTAGGATTTGGCACCCTCTGCAGATCATAGTTCTGGGTGCAGCCGTTGTTCTTGCAAAAGTTGTTTGCATAAAAAACTGTTAGGAATATTTTGCTCACATACAAAGCTGGTCATTCATGTCTGTGTTTACAGCATTACCAACTTTGATTTTCAAGTCTTTGTTGATTTTAACAGATTTTATTTGCTAGTGTGATCTTGTACGTTATAGTCCCAAATATTAATTTGGGAAATTTAAAAATATATATTTATTTATTTTGCATTAGGTGAACACAGTGTTTCGTTTCTTTTTAAGCCTGTCTTTATGCAATTTGTTTTGAACAATTTAATAAATCTTACAGGCCTTAGCTGTTGGTAGCAACACAGGCAAAGCTCATGTGACACTTTAAAGTACTGCTGTGAACATAAGGCTTATGTTGTCTCTCTCACACATTAAAATATAAATTTCTCAAAGGTCAGGATAACCAGCCAATAAAGAAAAGCTGCAAAATATATCATCTGAAATATAGCCTAATGTACAGTATTTTCTTGTTGCTTTCTTATAGATTTACATTTTAATTTCTTTTTCTACTTTTTTATTTTAATTTTTACCATAGATGTCAAATAAGTTAAACTGAAAAAAAAAAACAACAACAACAATTAAAACTCATGTTTAACCG